TGCCAAGGTACCACTTGTCTACCCCAAGTTTTCATTTATTGTTGTCCTCTAGGTTTCAAGAGATGCCAAAGATGATTCTGGGCGGTTCTCAGGTTTACTTTCCTCCAGTGATTCACCTCGTGTCGGTTTCTCAAGAAGCTCCAGTAGATTATCTTTTCAGGATGACCTGGACGAGTGTGATTTTTCTTGTCCATTTATAGTTGATGACGTCGATACTTCTGAATCCCAGGCCAAGTATTTATCCTCACTTCTGAGCTGTTATCTTTATTTGTATTCTTCTAGCCTTAGCTTGAGCAGGAAACTGAAATTCTCTGTACCTTTTATGTTGCTTGATATTGCTTCTTTTTTGTCTGTTGCAGTTTAGAACTAACTTTTCTGTTTTGAGTCTTGTCACCTGTAAGGAGTAAAAATAGGAGTATAGTGCTATGTGGGTATTAAATGATCAAAATAAGGTGCTTGTTGAGAATATATATTTGGAACTACAATATATGGTGGACTTTTATGTTAATTAAATACTTAAGGAATGTGTAAAGGCTAATAAGTTAGGTTCTGATGAGGCCAGAAGAAAAAGGCCAAAGAATAGTTAGTTTATGAAATTGAGGTATGAGATTTGAAAGAAAAGGAGAGAGTGAATATAGTAACTAATGCGCCCACAAAATTGATATTGGCTTTCTCTTAGGGCATATGTCCAAAGATGTGTGTAATATAATATTATGCACATATTTATTGGTTCTTATAAGTATAATATAGGGACATTTCAAGTAGCCTACACTGGCCAGAATTTTATATATATCTATGCGAGGGACATATGAAGCAGACTGAACCTAGACTAGATTGTTGTAAAATTTCAAATCAATTTAAAGTACAACTTTTTCACATTTTATTGCATTAGTGTTGTCCATCAGGTGGTTTTGGAACCATTGAGTTGTCACATGGTAATAGGGGAGAAAATACACTCTTTAAGTTCAATATCAAACCAGAATATGCCTGGCCTAATGTCAATCAAATTTCCCTGAATTAAGATTTTACTTTTGTAAGATTTAACGTCAGAAATTAGACTCTGAACTAGAGGGCATTTAGGCTAAATTTTTATTTGGTTTTCTGCTGTGTTAGTAGCATACTATTAATGTGGTCGCTATATTTAGCAACTGGACTTGTTAACTGGTAAGGGTAAAAGTTTTAGCTTTTAAAGGGCAACACAACCTTGGTTGAAGCATCATTTGCGCTATTTAGCTGTCTGTTTTAAATTTTCATGTTTATTTGTTCATGCATAACAGGAGAATTTTTTTTTTTTTTTAGTGCGTAGCAGGAAATTTTGTGTTACCTTTAGGCAAATCTGCAGTAGACTGACTTTTTTGGTATTCAAAAATTAGCCAAGCTTTATATGTTTTGGGTTGCTTGCTTCTTTTTTCAGGCGTATGAAGCTTGGATACGTTTTGGTTGACATGAATAATTTAGACTTGATTTCAGAATGCTTCAGAATTGCAAATATGACGTAACCTTGCCCATACATAAGTTTGATACCTTCTCAACCTAACTTTGTGCAGAAAATCTTCAGAATGTACTACGAAATTGAGATATAATCAAAAGTACTGGAATGATTCTTTCGCTGCGATCAATATGGAAGCTTTTCTTTTTTTTTTTTTTTGGTTTTTTTTTGGGGGGGGGGTGAAAAATCGATATGGAAGCTGATTTTGTTAATTGGTTCTTACATCTTCTGCGGATACTTGAATGTGTGTCATATTATTGCATACCATTTCAAATCACATGACATTCTGCCACCGAAGCCAGCAATTCCTTGGCTGTGTTTGAGAAATTCATTGGCTACCTCCCAATGGTGGTCTTTTACGTCATTCTTTTCTTTCTCTGCAGTTTGGGCATTCTTTGTGCTCTGTTCTATCTAGGCGTTAAGAGCTAAAAGAAAGGATGCCTTAGCCGTGGACCTTTTGATTTTATCTTTCGTGTTATAAGTAAACTTGGGCTATTGCATAACGTTTGTTCTCTCCTGGTCTACAGTCGGAATCTTGATTTGAGGAAAGGTTCAGAAGCTTCTTCACAGGCGATTTCATCTGTGAGGAAATCCCAAGATGCTGCTGTTGGTGCCCTAGTTCACATGCTACGGACAGCTCCTCCCTTGCGTCTGGACTCTAGCAGTTATGCTTCTGGTTTTGAGAAATCTGAACTTGAGAGTATTGCGGGTGCTGGTTCTGGATTCGTCCTGCCTCGAAAGACATCAGATGCATTAGAGGAGCTCAAGGCTTACAGTGAAATGAAGGAGTTGCTACTTTGCAAGAGCGGAAGCATTACCAGCAGGGCAGGCAGCAAGGACGAAACATCTTCCAGCTGATTTTGTCACGTAATTGAAGGAAGGTCCCTAAGAAAGATGCTGACTGACTGCCACTAATTCTGCAGTTTAATCTCCACACAGACAAAGTAAAGCTTTGATAGGATGATGATGCCATGGCTGTACACTCCAGGATTTTGATTAGTGGGGAGTGTCGAGTTTTCTGACTGGGGAAATACTTAAAAATTATTAATTATGTCGTTGTTTCAACATAGGACATTGCAAACGTGTACATAGGATGAGCAAAATGACCCACAGCTGTTGTAACAAAAAACTGATGAAATTCGGGAAAAAGCATCAAATCATAAACTTTTATACTTTTCGTAAGAAGTTAATATCCGTTTACTTTTCGGAATGCATATTGGGATGAGGTAATTTTTCCCCCCCTTCAAAAGTAATACCTTTTCTTTTATTTAAGAGAGAATAAAAAACCCTTTTGTTTTAACAACTTTTTTATTTTGTTCGATATGGAAGAACATGAATGTAAATGCTAAGATTGTATAATCAAAACTATAATGGGCGCTGGCTGGTCGGATGAAAAGTATTATTGATCAAAGAGATTCACGCTGTTTTCAAATCAAGAGGGGAGAGGTCATAATATTTTTTTAAAAAAATAAATAAAAAGATTAGAGGGAGGTTAGTGTAATTTACCCAAAAAAAAAAAAAAAAGAAAAGCCCGAGAATAGGCGTTTAGGTGTAAACTTTTGGTCACTGATCGCATCGTTTTTACTAGTCAAGTCACAAGTGGTCAAGTGGTAGTATTAAACCCTCACGTGAATGGGCTGGTGGTTGGCGTCTCTTCTTCGGGATCGTCAGGTCCTGGGGTCGAACCTTCGCAGCAACATCGACTTCTCCGTGCTGTTATCGTGCTAGGTCTAAGTTGGGGCGCTGGACCGGGCCGAAGTGGAATTAGTCGGACCGCCTTTACGGACTTGACCCGGACACCCACTCCGTCGACAAAAAAAAAAAAAAAAAAAGTGGTAGTATTAAATATTAACAGTAACCAAAAGCTTCTCTTGTGCGTAAAGGAGTCGTCCAAAAGAAAAACAAAAAGGAAGGCAGAAATCGGAGTCAGAAGTAGTGCTGTCCTGTTACTAAATAGGAATAAATAAATAGGTGTGGGGATCGAAGTTGCGTTAATGTTAGGACAATGGAGTGCTACTCTTTTTGCCCGTGTGTAATTTGCAGGTTCTCTCCAAGGAAATCGAGAGGTATACATACATATGTATCTCTCTCTCTCTCTCCCACCACCTTACATTCCATTCCATTCCATTCCATTCCTTCTCTTCTCTAAGCAGAGCAGCCCCATCCCTGCTGTTTTCCATTTTCATGTATTTTGCTGCCCTAGTCGATTTCTGTGTTTTTTTTTTTTTTAAATAATAGTAATATTTGCTATTAACCAATTCCTTGAGCCCAATGATTATGCAGGCATGCAAACGATCACTTCGCTGACCATGAACTCGCCCGGGACTTAGAATTCGCCCAACAAATTCAGCTTGCGCCCCCTACTCCTCTGGTACCTCCTCTCCCTTCAACTCTATCTCTCTCTTTCTCTCCTTGTAGATGTTATTTTGTCCTGATAGCCTTTTCAAATTTAATTTTCCGATCATCAGCTTTAGTCAGTATGCTACTTCTGTTTACATTTCTTGATTTTTCATCAGCTTCAGCCTTTTCAAAACCTCCCTGAGGTTTCTGACAGTCTCACTCACCTCCCCTGAACTTTGCAAAATATCAGATATCTCCCTTGTCAGATTATTGGGCCCTATTTGTGATATCATTGATGATGAATTGACAGATATATCCTCATAACTTATGATATATTTTGAAGCTATTTTGACAGAATCAGTTAAATGAGTAATAGAGATATAATTTATGATATACCTTCTATTCCACTTTACACTTTTATTCGCAGTACAATCACCGATGAAGAGTTTAGCACTAGCGTTACCTTTCTCTAAAGTCATGTATTTCATGTTTTTTTTTTGTAAGACAATTATCTAGTGTAATCATTACTTATATTTGGGTAAATTTTGGTTTTCAAAAAATTCAATGACGTAAATTTGGTTTTCAAAGAGTGTGAATTAACTTTTTTAAAAAAAAATCTCAACTAAAGTATCTAGCACTAAATGAAATGAAGGATCTTGCTACTTCATTTCATTTTCCATAGAGAAAATCACAAAAAGAGTTATTAAACTATTGAGAATTTGGTTATTTGATCGTTACACTATTTATTTAACTGCAATTGCCATTCACTCAATTAACCAAATAGTGAAAATTTTTTTGTGACTTAACTAGTAAAAATTTATACTTTTAATCAGTCAAATAATATTTTTTTATGACTTAACTAATAAAAATTTATACTTTTAATCACTCAAATTATAAAACTATACATTTTTTTATATCACAGAAGTATGTTTCAATTAATTGAATGATCATATTAGCTAAATAAATGTCTAATAGCTAAAACAAAAAAATATAAATAGCATTATAACATTGCTTGAAGAAGCCATCTGCATTTGTCTCTATCTGGTTCAACTTATTACTTCTTTTTTTCCTTTTGCTTTAGCTCAAGTTGTGGATAAGCAAAAAGGGCATATGTGGAACATAAATATCATCTCACTCCTCAAAATATTTTTTTAATGCTCATTTTTCTGACATGGCTGATCTTGTTACTCCAACTATAAGTTTAGGGGAGGTATCTGATATTTTGCAAAGTTCAGGGGAGGTGAATGAGACTGTTAGAAATCTCAGGGAAGGTTTCTGAAATTATCCCTTAAATTTTAGTAGCATCTTTTTCCCTCTTTTGGTGCTGGGTTTAAGAAATTATCGACTCTCTATATGCTTGTCAAAAATTTTCTAATTGCCTTTTTCTCTCTCCCCCGCCGGCTCCCCCCCCCCCACTCACCACAAAAGAACCAAAACAAAAAAAAACCACTACTTTTTTTTTTTTGGCTGATGGTTATTGCATTTCAAGAGTCAAAAGTTCTTATTTTAAGCTTTCACATGATTAGGTTGATAGTGCCATGCATTGTCAAGCAATTTCTCGGATACCCATCAGAGCACTTCCTTGTTGAGGGATGCGCCACTGAGACTGATGCTTGTGAAGGGAGTGATGTTGATGGGAAATTCTGCTCTTTGATCAGTTTGCAACTTAAGGAGACCTTCTATCAAGTGGAGGGTGGTTTGATCGCTTTGCTCAGAAATTGTTTGGCATCCGAGTCTCAAGATACAACCAGTATTTTGTCCGGGTATGTTGATCATTTCCAAAGCCGAGAATGGGAAGACATTGGGTGGGGTTGTGGATGGCGTAATATTCAGATGCTTAGCTCGCATTTGATCACACAAAGGCAAGAGGCAAGGGAGGTTTTGTATGGTGGTGCTGGATTTGTGCCTGATATTGCTTCTCTCCAAAGATGGCTTGAAATTGCATGGGAACTTGGATTTGATGCACAAGGTTCAAATGACTTTGATAGGGAGATCTATGGCAAAAGGAATTGGATCGGAACTACTGAGTGCGCTGCACTTTTTCGTTCTTTCGGGCTACGTGCCATGGTAGTGGATTTCTGTAGCAAGGGAACCCCATCTGCATCTTCAACCACTGCATTACACCATGGGAAAATGGCTAGTGAGGAAATTGTTGGCAAGGGGAAGTTGACAAAGGTCTATGGGCCCATGGATAGATATTTGTCTAGACGAGATAATAGCTTTACCCATGAAATTTTCACTATGCCTGAAGACTGTACGCATTCATGTGCCCTGTTGGGAAGATCAAAGGTCATGGAGTAATCATTGACTGGGTGTGGAATTATTTTTCTGACAACAATTCCACTAAACCTAGCAGTCACCGTGTTGTTCTCAGTGAGAAAGCGTGAGTATTTATCAATCTGTTGCTAAAGTCCATAGCCTATGCCAGACTTGATGTTTGATTTGTATCTATCTAGCATTGCATTGTAATCTGCTGCCAGAATTAAGATGCAGGCCCTTGTACTTCCAACATGATGGTCACTCAAGAACCATGTGGGGATTCAAGCTAAACGCCAGACTAATGGGAACTATCAATACAATTTACTAATCTTGGACCCTGCTCATGTAAGTTATTGCTTGATTTGCTTGGTAGAATATTTCTTAATTGTTTATGAACTGAATATACCTTTCGATTCTGGTAGTTGAAATCATTCTAGATGAGTGAAAGAACAGCATTTTACTGTCAGCAAGACAAGCATAATCAGAATACTTGGCACTTCTATTTTTTTTTTTAATTTTTTTCTTCCTCTTCCCTCCAGAGAACAGAAGCTCTTGCAAAGTCTCTCGAACAAAACTGTGGATGGCAAAAGCTGATAAAGAGAGGTATCCACACACTGAAGAAGCCGCAGTATCAGGTTTTACCTCGTTTCTATCACTCATATATTCGGTCTTACTGTGTTTTGCTACATTGTGGTACAACTATGACGTTGTTTCAGCTTTGCTTTATTGAGCCTGGAATTGCATCTGGAGAGGAGATTGACCAGCTGAAGGTCTTATACGGCATCAATATTGAAGTGTAGGTAAGCTCTTCTTCTCTCTACACTAAGTTGATATGTGCACTATTTGAGATTGATTGATCCTTGAAGTTTGAAATGCCAATAATGTGTGAAAAGTGCATATCTATTTCGATTCCTGGATTTGCCACTCCAGGAATATCAGTTTGAGTTACTTTGAGCAAGGGGAAAGGCTAGAAATAGCATCTTCTTTATAAGTTGCTACTTAGCAATCTTCAAAATCACACATTGTTGGATTCATATGTATCAATTCTACTTCATGCTTTGGAGCCTGTAGAGTTTTGAGTAAACTCCTTCAGGTGCTGTTATCAAAGACGAGTGGGGTCCTATTTCCACAACCTGACCCCTGTCCATGACAACTATGATATCTGACCTCATGACAGTGGAAAGCCTGTGTGCTACTGTGATCTGTGTCATTTTAGAAATAAAGTCACGAGTGTTGGTTACTTTTGGCAATTCTAGAGCACTCACCACTGCTCTTTCAGATTCGGCATCAAGGGCACTTGTTGCTTCATCTAGGAGCATCACTGCTGGCCTTTTTAACAGAGCCCTTGCTATGGCTATTCGCTGTTTTTGTCCTCCTGAAAGTAGGCATCCCTTTTCTCCAACCACAGTATGATATCCATCTGGCAATGTGCTTATGAATTCATGAATATTAGCCTGTCTTGACACCTCTATGATCTCAGCTTCAGAAGCCTCTTGGTTCCCATAGCAGATGTTGTCTCTAATCGAGAAACTAAATAAAAGTGGCTCCTGCTGCACCAATCCAATCTGCAATCAGCAACCTCAGATTGTAGTGTTTTATACTTTTTCCATCAACCAGAACACTACCTTCCTTTGCATCATAGAATCTCAGCAAGAGGGCCAAAACTGAAGATTTTCGAGCTCCACTTGGTCCAACTAGCGCCACCTTTGTTCCGGCTTCAATTTTTAAACTGAAATTGTCAAGTACAGTCATTTCCTGTCTGGATGGGTACTTAAAACTGATGTTTTTGAACTCAATGTCCCCCTTGATTCTCTCAAATTGTGTTTCTGCTGGTTTGTCTGGTTCAATCTCAGTGTGTCGGTCAAAAGTTTCAAACACAGGTGTTAGTATGCTAATAGCAGAGAAAACTGTAGGTACTAAAGTCCAGAGTTCTGTGATTGATGGTACTGTGAGTGAGAATATCTGGTATGATCTAATTCCATTTTCAAAGCTGGCTTGCCCTCTTTCAACCAGATATGTTGTGTACCACAAAGCAACAGCATGGGCAATGTTCCATAAGCAAATGGATACACCTTGAATGATGCCATACTTAGCACTTTCCCTCCTGCTTTTCCTCAACGGTGTCTTCAGAGACAATTTGGCCTTTTTGAGAATTTGGTCTTCATGGCAAAAGGATGCCACAGTTTTAATGTTTGTTGCAGATTCAGAAGCAAGGGCAACTAGTTCTGAATGGGCTGCATTGGTATCACTTGAAAATCCTCTAGCTGATTTTGCCTGTACAAGGCCGCCTATGAAGTGGCATGGCATCACTGCCCAAGCTACCAAACCCATTCTCCAGTTTACTTTCATGCTGACAACTGTTGCAATCAAAATAGAGGAGATGCATTGGACAATGACAGACATGCGATCAGCAATAATTGACTTGACTGTGGAAGTTTCATTGATGATGCGTGATGTTAGTGATCCAACACTGTTTTCAGGCTTTTCATACCAAGCTAACTCATTGCGTAGTGTAGCTGCAAGATTAATTTTGCTTGTGACTGGCTGCTTTTGAGTACTTGGGAAAGTTAAATGGACTTAAAATAGAAAAGAAAGCAATCAGTGAATTTTGCAACTCATTGTAATTGTGATACCTGTGAATAAAGCTTGTCTGAGGTTTGTCATGGCCTTCTCTCCGACCACTCCAAACAAGTAATGCTGCACAGTGTGGGCAAACAATGAGAGAATTCCTATTGAAGAAAAAAATATTGAATACCATCCAACTGTCTGCTTTGCATTAGTCTGGTAATATGTTACTCCTATTGTTATAATGCAGTAACCAAACACGGGCTTGGAGATGCCGGCAAAAGCTGCTGCAAAAGATGCAATACATATGTTGCTAATCTCTTTTCTATTCAATCCAAACCACATTCTGAAGAATATTGTGGTTGTTGTAATTTCTTTATGTTCCTGTTCCTTGGGAGGATCTCTGAGGTTTCTGTTCAATGGTGATGTAGGCTTTTCATGATGGTTTAGATATTGAGATGAAACCTGCACCTTGTCACTTGCAGTTTCTTCATTAGAATCTTTTGGTCTGTTTCATGAGTAATTTGAATCAGGGAAAGAGAATTTCAATTTCAAAATTATGTCAGTGTTTATTAAAACAAACACAAAGATATGGTATAGATTCAGTTTTGGATGCATTTGTGCATATAATAACCTGGGATCACTTTCTTGGTATATGTTCTGCATCCTGAATAAGTTATTGTAGGATTTACTGGTGTCCAACAAGTAATCATGTGTCCCTGACTCAGAAACTTTTCCATTTTCAACAACAACAATCATGTCTGCATTAATGATAGTTGACAATCGGTGTGCAATCAAGATGACCGTCCTTCCTTTCATTGCAGTGTCAAGGGCTTCCTGAACTAGTTTCTCTGATTCTGAATCAAGGGCACTGGTTGCCTCATCAAGCAAAAGAATTGGAGGGTTCTGAGGATCGCTCTTGCTATTGCAATTCTTTGTTTCTGTCCGCCAGACAATTGGAGACCCCGCTGTCCTACCTGTAATTGTTCAACCGATCAGAATGTTCACTTGCCATTGGATTTGTACTTTAGCAGTAAAATGACCGGCCGCAACTCATCATCAGGCACCATAGCATGTGCAAATTGGGGAGGGGGGACTGGGTTTATCTCTTTGAATAGGGGGATAAAGACAAGCACGTATCCACCTTTTTGTAACGAAAGAGGAACTCTAAACATTGAGACCATTAACAAGTGCTTGGTACTCACTGGTGATTGTTTTATATATCAGGGATTAATATCTGAGAATATTTTCAAGTGTTGACTGTGCCGTCTATTTTATGATTTGAATACATGGTCATAAATGATAGTAATTCAAATTTTGCTCTTTAAAATGCAACCAGGTGTTTGTTTACTTTGCATATCAGGTAAGTTCTGTTAGCTCTGCTTGAGTTTGATATGTGTAACTACTAGTGTGTCATTCCAGTCTGGTGGATCATGATTTTCAAATGATATAATGCAGCAGGTGAAGATTTCAGTAACTTTAAGCTGCTGAAGACTCATCAGAAAGGACAACAATAATGATTGGTTGTTGACATTACTGTAGCTGAGGATGCAAAGGAACTGAATGGAAGTGCCATTCTCTCTTTGCTGGAGTATGTTCACTTTTCTCAGGTTGACTGCGGTACTATTTCTTTATGCACTGCAAAAATGTGTGATGTTTTTTGCTAGTTTTTATCACTCATCAGTGGAAAATGCAATTGTGCCTGTGATAGGGATTTTTGAAAGGAGTAGAATCAGTATCAAATGTAGTGATTTTGTTGAAAAGTGCCTGACCTCTGTTAAATACTTGTCTGGTAGTTGGCATATAAAAGAATCTGCATTTGCTAAAAGTGCAGCATGCTGGATCTCTTCATCATCTGCATCCATCTTTCCTATCTTGATGTTATCCTTGATAGTACCAGCAAAGAGTGATGGCTCCTGGGAAACTAAGCCGATGTTTCTCCTGAGGAACTTCAAATCAAGTTCCTTTATATTGTGGTTGTCAATAAAAATGTCACCTGAATGGTTGGTTGTTCGTTTAGATTGTACTCTTTGTAATTATAGTGTTCAGGACCTTTGTGTAGGATGCATGCACACCATGATTTTTACCATCAAAAGACTATATGACATGGTTGATTTGGGTTTTCCAGGACTACTAACCTTTTTCAGGATCATAAAATCTAGCGAGTAAGGAGATGATAGTGCTTTTGCCGCACCCGCTACTTCCGACCAGTGCCACCACCTTTCCTGCTGGGATTGAAAATGAGAACCCTTGAAGAATCACCTTTTCCTGCCGGGAGGGGTAAGCAAAGTATATATTTCGGAGGTCAATGTTGCCATCAATGGCTTCCAGTATCTTCCCTTTTGAGTCAGAATTTATTGCAGATTTTCTTTGGATCACCTGAAAGACTTCCTTCCCTGCAGCTTTTGCTTGGTTGAATATCTGCATGTCTGGTGCAGCATAAGTGAGTGATCTGCAATGAAGAAAGATGTAAAACCAATTGGTGACGGTCCCAGCTCGTGGCCTTTCTTCTGCTGTATGCAGATGGTTGGCAGAATCTATGCATGCATTTACGATTTTAGTTTCTTACATAGCTCCGAAGAGGATGCTCATAACTGCAGCTATGACGTCTCCTCCAGTTGATCTCTTGTTCACAACAACAACTGCTCCGACCCAAACAATGAGAGCCCACGAAGTGAAGGTCACAGTTTGAAACATACCGGTCCCTGCACCCTTTATTAATGCTTCTTGCTTGCTTAAAATGAGTTGCTTCTCTAAGCACTTCGAAAGCGACTTGGTTGCTCGGTTTTCTCCAACAAATGCGTATACGGTTTTGATCTGGGAAATCGTCTGTTATGAAAAAGGTAAGCACTGTATAAGTCCTCCTAACGTTTTGGACAATGCATACCTGTTAGCGTCAAATGCCTGAATCCTGCAGATGCAGAACTATTACCTGTTCTACCAGTGATGTAGCCTCGGAGAGGTACGTCAACTTGGTTGCCGAAATGGAATTCATCTTTTTGGTATAATTGGCTCCAATAAATAGAATCAGGGGAACAACGAACAACGTAAGGAGTGACACTTCCCAGCAGGATATGAAAGCGACGAGAACCCCCGACACGAAAGTTGCCAAGCATGATAGGAAATGCCCCAGCTGTATGCGGGAGGCAAAAGACTCGATTAGAAGAAATTGTACGACTCTGACTGAATAATTGTGCCGCTTGTGTCCGCTAAGCTACCTTTGGTGGTGGTATGTGTAGAACCATACACATAGGCAGGCAAGGTAATTGCGTTTAATAAAATTGAAATCCGAAATCTGAATATGTGAAGTTATTGAAATATCAAGTAGAAAAATTCTAACATTTGATTGTATCATGTATTATTAAATTATAAGCGAGCAGTTTATCATTTATTGAAATATCAGTAAGGTTTAAATCCATTAACTTTTTGAGTAACGTATCAATCACTAGTTTTTTCCCCCCTCCTCCTTCTCCCCTTTCATTTATAGAAGCCAAAGTGATGGAGACAACACAAAGGAGGAGGAGGAGGAGGTAGGTGCAAACTTAAAAATCCGGACCTTCTCTCCAATGGCATCCTGTATGATGCGCATGTGATCGGTAATTCCGGTGATTACTTTAGCACTGCTTAAATCTGTATCGAAAGCTCCCATCTCCTGCCTCAGTACTGCTCTTAAAAAAGCCAGCCTCAGACGTGATACTTGTCTTTGGCTTGCATGCATCCAGCATCCTGTCTCTGCATGCAATATTATATTTAAAACCATGGTGTCACCTAATATCTGGAATTTTACTTCATTCTTCTTTCACCTTCCTTCCCCAGTTTGATATTTTGCTTCTGCTCATTATAAGAAAGAAAGTTACCTACAACTCCGGCAGGAAACGTTGCAATGGCCATGTACCACACATACGGAACGACCTGGACAACCAGCCAACCAATCAACCAAGTGGGGTTCAGAAATTAATATACAAAAAAAAAAAAAAAAAAATTCAGGCCAGTTTCCGGGAACTTTAAGTAGTCATGCGCTGCCCGGTTCTTCTGTTTTGCAGTAGTAATAAGTGGAGGGTATTTAGATATTTAGATTGAGGCTTTCTTACTTGTTTCAGGGCTTTAACCATGGCATCAGTGTCGCTTATGTTGTTACCGTATGCATCAAGGGCTCTGCCCAGCAAAAAATAGCCTATGGGTTGAGCCAGTCCATGGATTATGGATCCCAAGGTACCCGTAACCATCATTACCCAATCCCATGCGTCTGCGTAGCTCAAAAGTTGGCGAAATGCCAATCCGCTGATGATGTTCTCGTCAGTAGCAGCAGTGGTGGGATCTGGACGAGCATCATGACTGTGCTCCCGCTTCTTCTGAATCTGCTGATCATCAACAACTTCTTGCATGCCTCCCGCCCGACCTCCGCTGTGTGGAGCTTTGATCTTCAGAGGAGTTTTTTCCAGAGTGTTGCACTTGGTACTGGTGGTCTCTGCTGGCAAGGTATACATACATATATATGTATTCTTTGATGATGTTAATAACAGCAATGCTGGCGATGAAGTCTGCCTGTTGGAATTGCATTGGGTTTGATGATTACTATGACCGACGGGAATATATTGCAGTATATCCATTTAGCATTCACGAGTGTTTCTTAAATATATATGGGCTCGTTTGTATTGGTGAATATTACAGCGATGTTGACACCTCGCAAGAAGACGGATGGTAGAGCTATAGCAGACAATCCAGAAGCTGATTTAGTTTATTCCAGAATGCAAGCCGTGTTTATTCTTTGATGATAGACGATACGTAGTCCTTTTGTAGTTAGTACTTGTAATTTTCAAAGGAGGCCGGGATCCATCTAAATTGGCTCAAGGAGATGGATCGTTTGGCAATGGAAAATGGGGATCCATCTATATTTTGTGTTATCATGATGTAATCCAAGAACAGGAATACATGCATGCATGCAGGGGACTGACTGTTAAAAAGAGTGTAGAGTAGACCCGGATCGCCTCGTATCGTACGTATGTCCGGCGATTCTGGAATGCACTACTGTAGCATTTCATCGTTGGTGTGTCAACATTGTAGCAGCAGTTTGTTGCTGCTCACTCATTTTCGTTTGCTTCTCAGTTTTTGTCGTATAATTCCTAGATAGTACTTAAAAGATACTCATACAGCAGTATAGCGTATTTGTTTGTTGTTCAATCAGAGTGGGAGTAGCCATTGGAACAACCGACAATATGTGGATAGGCCTATAAATCTAATACTGACATTATCATAATCCATTTCTAAAATCATTAAGAAGAGAAGAAAGAGAAACACAAAACACAACCCCCCCCAAAAAAAAAAAAAAAGAAGAAACACAGAGTGATGGCCCCGGCGGACCTGGGCAAGGACTTTATAGTTGTACTAGCAGCACTCTATCTTTATCGTGCATTACCATACCAAAAATGGTGTTGGGCTAAAAGCCTGCAATCTACTTCATCATCTCATCCCAGGCGCCTCCACCTGACCGCCAAAGATTCAAGAATCCCCCCCCCCCCAACCACCACCCCGGGGGTTTGGGCCTTTATTTTTCCATTGGGTGTGGGGTTGGGGAGAGGACGCCTGCAGACTTCAGCAACCACGCTGAAGTGACCTAGTGAGCGTCATCTCATATTCTCATCTCAACAACTTGATATCTAATCTAAGTTGGTCGGCTGCCATTAATCTTGATACAGACTCCGCCCCGCCTTAGTCTTCAATTCATTTATCAATTTCCTAGAATATATATATATTAACTAGTAGTATATGTTATGTGGCTGTACTACCAAAACATGCAAGCCCTCCATTTGGTTTTCCCCTGGAATTATTCAAAACAATTATAAATGACGTAAAATTCATTGCATTCATCTATGTATCAATAGTAGTACTACTAATATTAGTAATAAAAGCTAGAGAGTGGTCTTCTTGCCAGCGCTTCTCACTCAGTCTCTCTCCTCCTGCTTTCCTACCTGAATTTGGGACTTTTGAGTACATTCTGTTTAGCCTGTGTTTCTTTCTGTGCAAACTCCTGGCGGACGCCGAATAACAATGGCAGAAGAAGAGGCGCAAAAGTGGGAGCAAGAAGAAGAGTTGGAACAAGTAGAAGAATTGTCTTCATTAAAATTAAGGCGGCCATCTACAACTCGCACTACTTCTACTGGTGCTTATCAAGATGCTAGTGCTACTGCTTCCACTGCCACTTGTACTTCTACTACTAGTCAGTTGGACGGAAATGGCAATTGTATAATTGAGCCCCCTCCAACTCCGTCACTGAAAATGAAGTTGATCTAGATGGGTCAGTTCTTGATCGAGATAAACGAGAGGGGCCGGACAAGATTGCTGCTTTATTTGATAGTGTGTTTCACAACCATGCCCGAATCACAGATGCTCACTCCAGGTCGGTTTTCCCCTTGCATTATTCAAAGCAATTATAAATGACGTAAAATTCAATGCATCTATATATCAATAGTAGTACTACTAATAGTAATAAAAGCTAGAGAGTGGTCTTCTTGCCAGCGCTTCTCACTCAGTCTCTCTGCTTCTGCTTTCCTACCTGAATTTGGGACTCTTTTGAGTACATTCTGGTTAGCCTGTGTTTCTTTCTGTGCGAACTCCTGGCGGACGCCGAATAACAATGGCAGAAGAAGAGGAGCAAAAGTGGGAGCAAGAAGAGGAGTTGGAACGAGTAGAAGAATTGTCGTCATTAAAATTAAGGCGGTCATCTACTGCTCGCACTACCTCTACTGGTGCTTCTCAAGATACTAGTGCTACTGCTTCCACTGCCACTTGTACTTCTACTACTAGTCAGTTGGACGGAAATGGCAATTGTAAGACCAATGGGCGTATAATTGAGCCGCCCTCCAACTCCGTCACTGAAAATGAAGTTGATCTAGATGGGTCAGTTCTTGATCGAGATAAACGAGAGGGGCCGGACAAGATTGCTGCTTTATTTGATAGTGTGTTTCACAACCATACCCGAATCACAGATGCTCACTCCAGGTCGGAACCTTGTGTTTACTATGACAAAGATGGAGGCAAGTTTCTTCTTCTTACCTTTCAAGAGAGTAACTTGTTGATCTGTATGCTCTCTGCTGTTGGTTTTCAACTCTTTTTTGTTCTGTAAGCATGTGCAAACCTGGCTTGCTTTGACCCTACCTGTCTGAATAACTTCAAAGGGCGCCCCTTCCTCTTTAGCTTTTGATTGTTACTATGACCCTACCTATCTGTTTGCCTTTGGGATTCTCTCTGTTTCTGTCCCCATGGTTTTTTGCTTTCGCACGAATACTTTTGCCAATTATTTCAAAAGTTCATCTTGTTGTGAAACTGGATTGGGGTCTAAGAACAAATCGGATGGGGGTTTCCTGCAGCTGGTGGCTATGTCTTAGTCTCATCCCACTTCAATTTTGAGGTAGCCAATTTTCTTTTCTTGAACAATGTGCTTATAGATGTGTTGAGGCGAAATCACACTCAGTTTGAGAGTTACTTTTCGGTGACCTTTTGCTTTTCTTTACCTATCTGTCGATGGTTGTTGTCTGGATCTCCTCCTACCTCCTTGGTTTTGTACTCCGAGTGCTGAGTTGATGTTGCCCAGATAGTTTCATTTATTGAGACAAGAAGAAACGGTTCAACTGCAAGTACAAAAATGAATTATTTTCCATGACTCTGTAAATTGTTTTCCAAGTAAACTTCCAGTAGTTTCATGCGTCTTGGAGTACCTCTATCCCTTTTTGCTGGTCCATGTCATGATATACCACAACATTGTGATCCCAGCTTGTGCCAATTTGTCTGATACAAGAACTGCCGCACTTCTCTCTATCACATTGACTGAAGTATTATCTGCACTCTATGGATGGGACAATCTGCAGTAGTTTTGAGTTACAATCACTTCTTCTTGTTGTTCCTTTTTGTGAATGAAGGACTATGGAAGTGTCGCTTCTGCTTTTGGACCTATGCAACTGCACGTCTTTCTGTTGATCTTATTCAAAAACTTAAGGGGCCCTTATATGAGCTGATGATTCACAAAACTATAAATCAGAGGGAACCATGTTTCACATTTGAACTAGAAGGTCAGTAGATACTTGAATAATAGAGAATTTGATGTTATTGCACTTACTAGAAGTTTAAGTTGTCTGTTCAAACACATAAATTTTCCATGGAGGACTGGTAGGGCCAACTTCTGAGATAACTGCTTGCTGATACTCGGCTTTGGGCATGGGGCAATGTGACACAAGTCAATAACATACCTGCTTAGTGCTGCTAAATTATATGGAAAATCAAGTTTACTAATTAAACTTCTGCTGTTTTTGCAAACACTTCTAACTTTCTCGAGTTTGAGCAGTTGTCTCCATTTGTTGCAACAGATTCATGCCTATATTCTGCAGGCAATATATTTGGATTTAGATCGCAAGATTGCTATTGAATGCTTGCTCTATTGATGCAGGGTCGCGAGCCAATTCCACATTTTGTGGAGATGACCATGTTGAGGGAAACACTGGTGTTAGAATATATGAGACCAGAGAAGGGAATTCTGGTGCTCAGAAGAGCTGTGATTCTGTAATTGACTGTAGAGTGGAGGGAAACAAGAAGGATAGTTCTAACTTGACAAGTCTTCAGCATTCCCCAGTTCTTTATGACGAATGCAGTGAAACTTACAAGTCCCAGGAAATCCAAGAAATTGAAAACGATGATATTGACCTCATTAATGGAAGTGGTCTGGACGTTACAGAATTAGATGTTGAGAGAGTACTTGAAAAACAAAATACACATGATTTGTACTGTCCAAACTGTAATTCCTGTATTACTCGAAGGGTTATTCTTCGCAAAAGAAAACGCCAAGCTCGCATCACTAGTGAAGATGTTAGACGTAAGAAACTAGAAACTGAAGTTGAATCCAGTTTGACTCACTGTTCTGGACAGGGCCAACAAGCAACCAGCATTGAGGTTCATACTACTGAAGAAAATCCATTGGATGATACTTCTCAAGCTGCAGAGAAGTATGAACGTGAGAGAGAGACTGATATCTTCAGATGCTTATCATGCTTCAGCTTTTTCATTCCAACAGGTTTGATATGTTGCAATTTGAATGAAATGAACAGTTAAGATCTATGTGAAAGTTCAGACCTGCTTCTTTTCCAGGCAAGATGAAATATGCACTTTTAGTTTCCTGGTTGTGCAACAACTTATTGAGAACTATTTGTAAAACATGCTAAGCACTATTCATTGCCTATTTTTGCTTGGAGTGAAGATAAACAATTATATGACTTTGTCTTTGTTGCCCATGGTGTCCCTACTTCCTTTTTTATTCAACTGTCTCCTAATGTAGAACCAGTATTACTTGATGACATTTCTGAACTTGGGAAAGGGTCTCATGGCATGCAGGAAGGAAAGGTCAATGATGGATTATGATATTATCTATTTGGCAACACAGGTTACTGAGACCATACATTCAACATGTATTGTTGAGTATCCCTGTATAGTGATTATCATTGGTATTGCAGGAGAGAAAAGTAGTTCACTTGACATATTCACTTCCAAAGAGGTCTACATTCTTGGAACTAGCACATCAGGCCGACAGTTCTGATGTTTGGCTAGCTAAATCTCAAGTTTTCTTGCCAAAATTGAGGGTTATATTGGTCATTTAACGCATGAAGGGCACAGTTTGACAAAATTTTTCCCAGAAAGTTACTGTACCATGACATGCTTTATCACCTTCAAGTGTTTAGGCAACACTAAGTCCTCTATTTGGATCTCAAAGTGAAAGGTAGTGAAGTATTACCTTGTGCAAGTTGCTCATGCATTTGTGAATTGTTACATCTAAATTGTCCTTTTCTTTTAATTCCTTTTCTATTGTGAAAGCATGCATTTGTTACATCCAATTGCCCTACCAGTGGTGTGAGTGCACTTTCCTGTTGCAACTTGGGAGGGGGATGATGATTTACCTAGACAGCATGTAACTCAGCTTTGTGACCACTGAGTCCATGCACGATAGATAAATCATGAGAAGTCACATGCATGATAGATCAATCATGAGAATGCATGATGCAGATGTAACTAAATTTGTTGGGATTGCATGCAAAATGGTTTCAAGAAACCTTCAGTTATTGTCTGGGCTATGGGTCATACCATGTCAAAAAAATTCAGTATTTCTTGTTGAATTTCAGGAAATGGGTTTAAATTGTTTAAGATATTTGGAGATAAAGCTGAAAAGAAGCCTGTTAAAGATGAGCAGAAATTGACGAGTAAAAGCGGGATATCCTCTACTTTTGCATCAGATAGGGAGAGAACTTCAGAGCCAGGTTTCTAATCCTATTCTCTTT